CCCCACGCCCCCGCCCCCGCCGCCGCGGTTACCGCGTCTCCTCCTTCTTGTGCTCCAGCTCCGCCTCCAGCCGCTGCTTCCGGAGCTGAGCCTCCTTCTCCCTCAGCTGCCGCTTCTCCAGCAAAGCCGCCCGCTTCACCGCCATGTCGTCTTCCGCTTTCTGATCGTCCTAGGAACCGATTTCGTTGAGAAAGAGGGAGCCGTTTAGGCACGAAGAGTCCCACTCCGATCGCTGCAGCCGCGGTCACAGCCGGAAACACGCACTATCTAGTCGCCCTTATCCCAACCCTGCAGCACACGCGGACGTTCCAGAAATTTCAAGGAAGAAGGAACGGATTAAAATACGGTGACAATTCTGTCAAGTAACAAAGGGCGCAGACTTACTGAATGACGTGTCTTCAAAACGTAGGAGCTGGCAAAGGACCACCAAAGAAAGGAAAAAGAACAGTTCTTTGGACCCTAATAAATAACCTGAGAGGAGTTTCCCAATTTTCCAAACCGCATTTAAATTGTACTTGAAATACGTGCTCAGTAAAGAAACCCGAGTGAAAAAGCACCAGAAACCAGCCAGGGTCACGGCGCGCACGCGCCTCCGGCCTAAGCGAGGGTCCCGCGGCTCGCTCGCGGGGTTCGGAAGGACGCTGAAGGTTCCGCCCCGGACGACAGCAGCCGCCCCGCTCTGCGGCCTGACAGCGCGTTCGCGACCGGCCGGCCGCCTGGGCCCGCCTCGGTTTCCTCTCAGGGACCTTCCAGAATGCTCCAGAACTCAGGGAAGGGACAAGCTCGAGCTCCAGACATGGCTGCTTGTCTTAAGGACTCTCCGTGATGCTTAACTCAACGCGCATTTCCTGGGCATCTGATACCGTCGCCACACAGCGCCAGGCAGACAGATATTACGACGGAAAGAAGACGGGGTGCCTTAGGTTACGAGCTTCAAGTCATGGGAAGGGGTGCCATCAGGGGGCTTTGCACAGGAGCCCAGAGAGACGAGCTCCGATGGAGACGCAAACGGCCAGCCCGACGCCCACACGTCCGTCCGTCAGAGACTACGGACACCTGGCCATGTGCCGGGCACTCGGCTGCGGTCTGGGGACAGAACGGCGCAGTGTCTGCGGGAGTTCACGGTCTGAGAGGGAACTAGTACCACGTGCAGACCCAGCAGTCAGTAGAGCGGAGACCCCCGGGTCGCAGGCACCGCGAGGGGCACGTTCAGGCGGGACACGGCACAGAACACCGCTCACGTCTGCTTGGGGCCTTGCAGGAGGCTCTGGCAGACTTTGAAATCAGTGTAAAGAACAGTCCAAAACAGAGGCTACGGGGAAGAGGGTAGACAAACAGGCTCGGGGGGTGAGGGGCGGAGGCCCGTGGAAGACCCCGAATATGATGCCGAGGGCTTTGGACTTCATTCAACAGGCAACTCCAAGTTCTCTGACCAGAGAGAGTCTCAACTGCAGTTACGCTCGTGGAAGAATGATCTCAGTTAGCAGACGAAGACTGGAAAGGCACAATGAGGGGCCGGGGAGCCCAGTTAGGAGGCGAAAACGCAGTCCAGGAACGAGCGTGGGGCAGTGAAGATGGCAGACGAACAGAAACGGATGCAGACGAGGGTGCAGGTGGGAACGGTACAGACGAGGGTGCAGGTGGGAACGGTGCAGACGAGGGTACAGGTGGGAACGGTGCAGACGGGGGTGCAGGTGGGAACGGTGCAGACGAGGGTACAGGTGGGAACGGTGCAGACGGGGGGACAGGTGCAGACGAGGGTACAGGTGGGAACGGTGCAGACGAGGGTGCAGGTGGGAACGGTGCAGATGAGGGTGCAGGTGCACTGCCTGTTTGGCATAAAGGGTTTCCCGCTGTTTTCTCTGTGAGGCACAGGGGCAACAAGCGTCTCTAGAACTGCACAGGAGGCTGTGTCTGTGGTGCTGACAGCAGCATTCTATTAAAAATCGCAGTTTTGCATAGTTAACAAATAAAACGAGACTCATATTCAAATTTCTACACATTCTAAAGGGTCTAAAGGTCAATCGTCCTGAGAGCGACTTTAAAATAAGTTACCGGTTTCCAACGTTAAATGGTTCAAAGTGAGACCGGCAACTGCAACCACTTCCCTGTCCTTCCTCTTGTTCTCGCAGGACTGCTGTGTGTTTCCGTCTAAAACCTTAAATTACACACCGCCGCTACTGAGCCCGACTTCCGTCTACACGCCACGTGTGGAACAGGGTCACAGATGGTCCACGTGAAGCCCTTGACTTTAAGAAAAACACGAATAACAAACATATATGTTTCTGATTGTTTGGGAAAAAAACAACTGTGTACTTCCCTGTAGATGATTTGGAAAATATAGGAAAATGTAAAGACGAAAGAAATGATAATTAGGAGAAATGTTTAAAAATGTGAGTAGGTTTTTGTTTTCCAAATGCCTATGACACATTTCAAGATCTTTGCCATGAAGAGGTGACGCTGTTCACTATCTGTGTTCGTCGGCTACAGACCTGCACCAGGTCAGGGGAAGGGGCGCCATCCCTTGAAATGTGCCATAGGAATCTGGAAAGACCAATACCAGGACTGGCGTCGTGGGCTAGACCTCCATCCAGTGCTTGTAAAGGAGCGACTTCGATGACAACTGTTCGAACTACATGAGCTTTTAAATGTTTCACTTTGCGAAACTCTGGTCAGTTTTAAAAGACTTTTAAAAAACAAGACACACGACGCCAAGTATCAGCTTTCTGCGCCCTGGCAACTGAAAAGCCCTGGGAAGAGATCTGAACGGCTTAATTTCTGAAAGCGAGAGAACAAAGCAGAGGAACAAAACGGCCGATCTGAACTCGTGTCGTGACCGACGACAGGAGGCTGTTCTAGAAACCCCAGGGGTGTGAGCGCCCGCCAGGGGAGACACCGAGGCCCGTTTGGGATCGCAGGCAGCCTGTCGAAAGCAGCCAGCGCGTCAGCTGAAAACCGGCCCCTCTGACGAGGACGCCTGGACCCGTGCAGTGGGCGTTACCTTGAAGAAGAACCCGCAGCACAGCTTCTGGTCCTCGTCCAGTTGTTCTTTGTCGCTGTCCCCGTCACCCTTCTCCACGGACACGTCGGCCTTTTCGGGGGGTTTCAAGTCCGAGAGGGACACTTCGATGAGGTTCATGCTTTTGGGGGCGGCGGGTGGGGGGG